GCGGGTGTCCGAATAGCGACGTGCCGTACGAGCCGCCGCCCGAGCCGTAGTCTCTGTAGTGCGAGCGCTCTCTCAGGTAGAGCGCCAGCAGCACCTGCTCCTCAGGCTGCTCCTCCAGCAGTGTGTGTGTACCTGAGGGGGAACTCCACGATGCTGTCCAGCTTCTCTCTGGTGAACTTGGTGTAGGAGAACCTCTTGAGGTGGATGATGAGAACCTCTGGCAGAGACCAGAGATCCAGCTTCTTCGTGGCCAGCTGGTGCTTCTTACACACCGGACAGTACCTGAAACACACACGGAGCAGATGTGAGTATCTGCAGGAAAGCTGTGCAGTGTAAAGTCACACAGTACAACATATACTGAACATGTAGTGAAATGCTTGTGTCCCAACTGCAGACAGGCTGCAGATGTAGCCGCGACATTCAGGGGTCGTTGTTTTTTTAAGCATGGGGCGTCTAGCCAGGACCCTTTTTCGATACCAGATGGGAATCAAACTTGCGACTCCTGCTACGAGGGCGTGTAGTCTCACCACTAAACCATCCAGCTGAGTGTTATTTTGCTGCTTTGAATGAAAGGTTTTCATCATTCAGTCAAGGAAGCAAAACAACAGCAAACCTATGAAACAAAGAATATCTCATCATGCCGGCGCCCCTCGGGGTTAATCAAGCACTTATTATCCGGCAGGAGGACGCCGGAGTAATCGGGGAGAACCCAGACTGGATTCAAGCTCAGGACCTGCTGTGAGGCGGCCATGCTACCCGCTGCACCACCACGCCGCCCAGCATCTCAGCTCATCAGGTTTTACATGTTGATGAATGTAAAACCTTGATGCATGCATACAGGCTTTGCACACTTGCCCACACTCATTCACTCAACACACTCATTGTGTTGACTGGACTGAAAGTGTGATCTGACTCCAGGGCTACCACTAGAGGGCGCTGTGTGCACCACAGCAGGTTAAATTACCACCACTGAAATGAAAACGTGGACGGCGTCTGCTTTTCAAACTCGGGGACAGAAGCTCCACCCTGGATCTGGACGTTACAGTAACAGACGTCTTTACCTGAAACAGCTGAAACCTTCAGAGTATTTAGTCTTTTAATGGAGCTTGTCCACCAGTTTACTTCTCACTGGTTTCTCACAGTGTGGTCAGCTCTGCTCAGACTCTCACTACTCTGTGTGTGTGTGTGTGTGTGTGTGTGTCTGTGTGTTACCATGGGTTCTCCTCCTCCAGCGTCTCCACAGTGGTGAACAGCTCGATGCACTGCTGCAGCTGAACAGTCATGTGCTGCTGAGGGACCTCCATGCTGGCATGCTTCACGTATTTCTACACAGGAGGAGGAAAGACAGGTTTTAATGTCAGAGGTGCCAGAGGACAAATGAGTGTTAAACGTCTGTCCTTCTGTTTGCACCTGTGTGTTCAATTACGTCCTCAAACCTCTCAGCCTGTTAACATGTTACAGGACTGCTGTTATTGTACCGTGGATGTTTACAGAGCCTCAGATCTCTCACCTGTTTAAACCACTGACCAAACACCAGATAATTCAGATCTGTCTCTATATGAACCAACCTAGAAGGTCATGTTGTTTTTGTGACGCACTCAGCGCCATTTGTATTTAAACACGTCACCCTCAGTTATTCAGGACACGCCCTGTGAGTGTGTTACATTAGGGCTTAAATGTTGGCGCTGACCTCAGCCTCGTTCTCGTTGTAGAATCTCTTCTTCATGTCGGGCTCCCAGTCGATGGCCACGTAGGGCTGAGCTGCGGAGACAAAGGAAGCGTGAGCTACGCTGATACGCTGGCGACAGGATGTGACATCGTCTGATAACATGGTGATTCTGCTTCTCCTGCTGCACTGATCCATGTTAAGCATGGTTCAAGTTTCCAGTAACTACCAATAATCCCCATCAGCTGAAAGCTGTGCTCCGCCCATCTGCTGTTCAAACCTACTGTTTAGCAGAGGCAGCCAATCAGAAGAAAGCTTACTTGAAGGTTGAAGTGAGCAAACGGCTCCACTCAGATGTTTTCATTTTATTCTGATTCATTCTCATCTGTGTCTGAAGCTCCTTCATCATCATCATCATCATCATCGCACTGATGAGTGACATCAGTGTGATGTCACAGAGGTTGTGTTTGTGCGTTCACACTCACAGCTGAAGGACACGGCGCTTCCTCCCTCTCCCATCCCCCTCTCGGTCGTCCCGTTGGAGTTGACCGCCTGGATGCTGAACAGACGCTTCCTCCTGACGTGACACGCCCTCCTCTTAGCCGGATGCTCATTGGCTGGCGGGCTGGGAGAGCAAGCCTCCTCCTGCTTGTCTTCTTCATTTTCTTCCTCGGTTGGCTCACGAGGCTGCTCCGCTGGAGGTTTCGAGCCGCGGTCGGCTTCTGCGGGACCGCTCGACTGCTCGCCGGGGGCCTCGTCATCGGCGCTGATGGCGTCTCCGCTGCAGCCGGGCTCCGTCTGGCTCTGGGAGCCGTTACTGTTCTCGCCGGGGTCTCCGTGGTCCGGTGAAGGCTGGATGTGGTTCTCCTCAGCCTGTGGCTCTGTTGTGTTGCCGTCTGATTTCCTGTTGGGCGTCGCGTCACCGCAGGAGTAATCGGTCTGGGACGGGCCAGCAGGCTCCACTTCCTCCTGCTCGTCATCTGAGAAAACAACACGAAAGCTGCAGCTGCAGAGCTCACTCAGCCCAGATAACACAAAACATGTGTGAAAGACGCACAAACGTTGTGTCAGCGTTTTTATATTTGCTCGAGGAAAGGTAAAAAAACTGCAGAAGCCAAACAAATAAATTTATGACAACATGAAACGAACGGCAGCATCAGAACCAGAAAGATTTGTACCATCACTGATGCCGTTGGTCTGAGTCTTGTACAGCTCCTCTTCATCATCTTCCTCCTCTTCCTCCAACTCCTCAGACGGATCAGGCAGTCGCACATAGCGCCTGCACACACAGCGACACCGCCCAGCAAAACTCAGTATATTCACAAACTCTGTGTGTGTGTGTGTGTGTGTGTGTGCGCGCGTTCTGCTCACGCCAGTCTCTGCAGGAACAGGTTGTAGAGCGCCTCCTGGCTGCAGCTGCTGCGCGGCACGTTGAGCAGCAGCGGGTGTCCGAATAGCGACGTGCCGTACGAGCCGCCGCCCGAGCCGTAGTCTCTGTAGTGCG